CTACAAGTCCACCATATAAGTCATAAATACAGAGATGAAATTTTCAGAGAGGACGATTACAAGTGCACATATAAGTCATACATCACAGAATGAAATTGGACTCTTTAAAGTAGAGACACTACATACTGATATACACCTGAACATCAGCAGGAGAGGACTCTTTAAAGTAGAGACACTACATACTGATATACACCTGAACATCAGCAGGAGAGGACTCTTTAAAGTAGAGACACTACATACTGATATACACCTGGGAGACTCTTTAAAGTAGAGACACTACATACTGATATACACCTGAACATCAGCAGGAGAGGACTCTTTAAAGTAGAGACACTACATACTGATATACACCTGAACATCAGCAGGAGAGGACTCTTTAAAGTATTGAAACTAAAAAATGGAACTCTTGGTTCAATCATAGTCGGGTAGTTAAAGTGATTATTACATTCACAACTCACTTTATTTTGTAGGGAAACTAGTGTACAAAATGCTCCTGATGAAGAACTTTCTTTGTCTCAAATGTAGCTTGAGTCCGTTCAGGTGTTTAGAATTTAAATTGCTTGAAACTTTGATGCATGATGAAGCATAACTCTCAGACTCTATCCCTCTGTGGATAAACCTGTGTCTCTGCTCTTATGGGAAATGTTGCCTGCATTATATTTAATTAGCTTTCCTTAGCGCGTCTTTCAAGAAAACAATTATTCTTAATTAAAATGCCGTTGTGTGGTTTCAAAGTAATAAAGCAGCAGCGTTATATTGAGCATAAATAAATAATTTCATTGAGCAGTCACTTTACATTTACCATGGGGACAACTGTATACAAGCGCTCCATATTTATCCTAATTGCTGTCGCTTATTGTAGCATGAATAATTGACTTTAATGTAATAACACTGCGCTAAATGCAATAAAGCTGTGTTTGAGCATTTATTCATGCAATGCGTACACTTCTTTAGGCATGTATATCATGCACAAATATCAGGTTAAATCTTCTGTACAGAAATAACAGTCAATAAGTAGTTTTTATTGCAGTTTTTTACAGTGTGGGAGACTCCAAACTCAATAACAGTGCAAGCCTGTGACGAATGAGAAGGGTAAATATTGTGTATGTGTGAGAGCTGCTGAGGCGAGGCAGTAGCCTAAAGAAGTGCTGAAGACGAGAGGGACACACACACACACACACACACACACACACACACACACACACACACACACACACACACACACACACACACCACACATGAATTTGGTTTTAATAAGTAGCTTCTCCCGATGGGAAGTGAAGCAGAACCTTCACTGTTCTCCCACAGAAGGCTCGGAGAATAGTGTGTGTGTGTGTGTGTGTGTGTGTGTGTGTGTGTGTGTGTGTGTGTGTGTGTGTGTGTGTGTGTGTGTGTGTGTGTGTGTGTGTGTGTGTGAGTTGACTCTATTATTCAGTCTCTTCATATTGCTCAAATTGCTCGAGGAGGGAAATACACAAAGGGCCCCGGAGGAATGGGAGGGCCACCGTTATGATTATTATTGTTGTTATTAAACATTAGAGGAGGTTGAAGCAACATGGAATATAATTTAAAAAGTGTGACTGTATTGTACTCGGATATTCATTCAAGAGAGGCTTGTCTTTAACGCGAGACAAATATTCTGCAAAATTACATCTTGCAACAAGGAGATCGAAGCTCTGTTTCTTCTGCATTGTTCTGATCGCAATGGTTTGTCCATAAATGCACTTTGCCCAAAATTCAAACGTAAGAAAGTAAGAAACCGACAATTTCTTTACAGTTTTTCTTAACCTATACACTTTATAATTGCATGTTGAAATGGCGAAATAACCTTTTCCATTTTTAAAGAAAGGAAGCAAGACAATAATGGGAAAAATAATCTTAGAAAAAAGTCAAAATGATTGCACAAGTTAGCGTTAACTTAAATGATCTTTATCTGTCATTTCAACGCAATATATTCATCGCCTTCTCCTTCCTCCACTTCCATCTTTGTCAGGTGTAACTTTTACCACTTCGACATGTGGGTGCCTTTCAAAGAGCTTAATTAAACTAATTATCCAACCAGAGCTTTGTTAGATAGGCAAAGTGATTAAAGTTTTACCCCTTCTCATGGTGTATTATCAAACCCCTGTAATTTGCTCGGTAATTTAGAATTAATTGGAAATAATTTGTTCGCTGCGCCGGGCATATAGTGTGGTTTCTATAATCTATGGCCTTTGTAAGTAGTTGTGATAAGGCTAACCTTTTCCCCCTTCACTTAGGTTCAAGTTAATTAAATCTCCTTTTAATTGTGTTCTAATACAAAACGCACATTGCCCCGTTTAATACGTCTCCCCGACTCCGAGCCAAAAGCTAATAGAGGGGTTGAATAAAGAGAGAAAGGAGAGGGAAGGGAAAAAAGTAGTCATTTTTTTCCCCTTCTTCATTTTCTGAGGGAAGTGAAGTGTCAGCGAATTCGGGCAAAATTAATTATTTCAGCTTGATAAAGCTTTTCATCTTCGTGACTCCTTGCTCTGAAAAAGCCAATTAATGATGTCAAACATGCTCTCCCTCTCCGGGGACAGCCTCCGCTCTGATGAGTGTGTTTACCGCAACGAGACTGTGTGTGTGTGTGTGTGTGTGTGTGTGTGTGTGTGTGTGTGTGTGTGTGTGTGTGTGTGTGTGTGTGTGTGTGTGTGTGTGTGTGTGTGTGTGTGTT